TTGGCATCGGCTGCAGAGACCCTCTGCTCTCCCCAGTCCTAGCCAGGGGGGAGAGAACTTGCTGGGATCAGCTGTAGAGACCACTGCCCCAGGCTGCCTGGTGCTGGCTGTCTGTCATGGAGTACCCAGAGGGGCTCTTCCCTGGTACCTCAGTTCTTAAAATGTCCCATTTCAGTGGTTCTCAACCTTTTTTGTGTCAGAGCCCATTTGTAAAGATTGATGGCCAGTCCTGACTCAGTGCCCTCACTCCCGACCCGCTACCCCCCACCCCCAGGTCCCAGCCCCACCGTGTGTGGGGCAGGCAATGGGTGTGTGGGTCCGGGATGGGTGTGTGATGCATGGGGAGCCCCAAGTAGTCTTACGGGCTGGGACTCTGCCAGCGTGAAAAGGACAAGCCATGGGTTCCCACGATTTCCTCTTTTAAAGGAGAATCCATTTTAAAATTTGTTACTCCACTTGCAAAGTTTGTTTGCGACTCTGTCATATATTCTTGCAACCTACTTTAGGGTTGCAACCCATGGGCTGAGAAACGCTGTTCTATTTCACTGATCCCTAGAGACAGCCCAGGCAGCACATTTAGGGGCAGGGAGCCCAGCTCCAGGGACTTTGACCCGGCCTTTCCATGCCAGCACCCCTGGCTCTCTGCGCCCAGGAGCGCACTGCTGCTAATGCAGCCTGGGGTGTTTGCAACGCTGTCACCAGAGACTTCTCGCTCTTCAGGTCTCTGCTCCCCAAACTCTTGACAGCACCCCTGGCTCCTCCAGGCCTCTGCCCCAGCTGCACTCCCACCCCCACCTCGAGCTCGTGACCTGCTCACCTCCATGCTCTCCCCCTGCTTCGCCAGCCTGCCCTGCCCCAGCCCAGGTGTCAGGGAGCCACTCTGTCCCCGTCTCCCTGGGGAGGGTCTCTGCAGCTCCCGGTTGACAGGCCCTTCCTCAGGAGGCTGCTCATCCGCTCTGCTCAGGGTCCCAGCACCTGCCGGTGAGAAGGGAGTGCACAGGTGAGCCCTGGGGTGGTGGCAGAGGAAAGCCCTGCTTGTCGCCTGGACTGGCCTGGGGTGAAGGGGGCTGGAGGCTGCAGTGTGTGGAAGAGGGGGGAGAAGGGAGACTCACTGTCCCACCGACAAGGGGCTGGAGATTAGCTCCTAGAACTGCCCCAGCACCAGTGGTGATCACAGCACTGTGTCAGAGCCTGCAGGGACATCACTCCTGGGAAAAAATCTGGAGGGATGTTGGTGCTGTCAGGTCCACATGTTGGGGTGTTGGGGGTGAAACACAGGGTCAGTCTACTCCAGGACACGTGAAACACTTCCAGGGCCACTGGAAGAACAGGAGCTGCTGACCTGCTGGAGCACGGACCCATCAAACTGTTCTGGCAGAGATTTCTGCACTGGGCGACGGGGCCTCCTGCCACTGGACAGGGGAGACCCCCCCCACCGCTCCTCACCTCGCCTGGGGAAGGGCCTGGTTCAGGGCACCTGCCCGGGGACCCTCCACATGCCAACAGCTCCCAGGTCTGCACTGTCTTGGGGCCCTGCAGCAGGACGGAGGCCTGGGTGAACTGCACCTGGACCAGCCACAGGCCACAGGGGACTAACAGTGCCAACACTAATAATGGTGGGGGGTGGGGGGAGGTAACTGCTACTCTTTGGGTGTCGAGCCCATGGTAACCATGTATATCAAAAAGGCTGGGAAGGACCTGGCTTGGGGTTGGGCGGGGGCTCCTTTTTGCAGACATGAGGCAGCTCATCCTCGGGCCCTGGGGTTTTTTTCTCTCCTGCCTTCACCAGAGGCCTGTCCTTGCCATGGGCCTTCGGCTGCTGCACCTTGGAATCAACATACACCGACAGGGCCCCAGTGGGCTGCATCTTGTCTGAGGACACCTCCTTGATTTTCACTTGCACTGTGACCTGGGGACGAGATAAATGTGTCACTGGGGAGCTTGGATCTTGGAGGGAACATCCCCCAGACACGTGGAGGGATAGATGGCAGCAATGATGATAAGGGGGAAACAATGCTCTCACCTGGAGCTGCTTGTCCTCCTCTTGGCACATCTGAGCCCTTTCGGCCAGGGCCACAGCCTGGGCGCAGGTCTCCACACGGCCCCCGCACGCCCAGCTCCGCATCTCCGGGGGCAGGATGGCCAGGAACTGCTCCAGCACCACCAGCTCCAGCATCTGCTCCTTGCTGCGGCGCTGGGGCTCCAGCCAGCGCCGGCACAGCTCCCGCAGGCGGCTGCAAGTCTCCCGCGGGCCCTCGGCGTCCCGGTAGCGCAGGCCACGGAAGAGCCGGCGCCAGGGCTCTGGGGTGGGGGGCTCGTCCCGCGGTGCCAGCACTGGGGGGGCGGAGGGCAGCTCGGCCTGGCCTGGGGGCTGTGTGGCCTGCATTGCGTCCTGCCCCCACAGCTCTCGGTGCTGCACCGGCTCCGGTCGGGTCGACACGAGGGACTTCTGCCCCCTCAGCCCCTGCCTGCAGACCTCCTGGGCCCTGCTCTGCCAGCTCCCGCCGGGAAGGGAGGCCCACGGCTGCCACGGGCTCCGGTGCAGCACCCACGTCTCCTCGGGAGGGGTCTCACTGGCCTGGGCCGGGGCTCTCTGCCCTGTGCTCACGCCCTGCGCTGTCGGCAGTGTCCGGTCTTCAAGGCCACCTGTGGGAAAGGAGACAGCGGAAATCTGGCCATGGATTGGAGACCCAGGACCATGACGCTGCCCAGCCCGAGGTCTGTCCAGCCTGGTTGCCCCTGACTGCCCCCCACTCGGAGCAGTCTCAGGACCGTCCTCGCTTCCCCTCTGGCCCCAGTGCAGGACGTGGGCACCAGGCGAGCTGGAGAAATGGTGCAACCCCAGCTCCCTGCACCCTCCACCAGCACCACACCTGCTCCCTCCTCCCCCCACCCTGCAGTTAGGGTGACCCCCGCACCCTGATTGGGGGGGACAGTGCCCAAACAGGAACCTCAAATCCCGGTCCTGGGCTGCATGACCCCGGGACAGCATTTGTCCCAAATTCACCGTGACTAGAGGAATGGGAAACCGTGCTTTCCCTTTGCAGGCGGGCAGGTGCAGGTGTGCGAGGGGCCGGTGGGAGGGGGACGCAGGGGGCACCAGGGCACTCGCACACCCACACACAAGCGCCCGGCCGTGAATGCAGCAGGAAAGGCTGGGGAGCAGCTCCCTGCAGGTACGTGTATGGG